AGCAGAAGCAGCAGCAAGTGGAAGAGAAATAAATTAGACAGCAGAGACTTTGAAAAAAAGCTTGGAATCAAAATCCTAGATGGAAATACCCCCCACACAGGCGTTGGCTCTGTATCTGAACTCTCCATCTTATGCCCAACTCTAATCATTACCAGTTTCTTTTTAAAAGCCTACGCCTGAAAGAACTGATGTGTTATGAGACAGCTGTGACCTAAGTAAACTCCAAACAAATCATTCGCCACTGCAAAACTCCAGAACAAGCTGGTACTTTCTCAGAGAACAGTGTTCTTCTAAACACACATTATACATAAAGAGGAAACAGAAAGCACATACTGTAGGCTTTCATCAATTGTACACAAACAAAGCCTTTGATAACTCTCTGAATAGGCTTGAGATCATTATGCCTGGGGCCAAGGGGCTCTCAGTAGTTTAAGATCTCATTTTCCAAACTTTTGGTCAAAAGGGTCTTTTTAAGTGTAAGGGAGAAAGGAACACTTTTTCCTTTAATATCGTTATGTTCACAATACCCCTACTCAAATCCTTACATGCACTATCATTTTCCTTACCAAATTCAAACTTTACAACCCCAAGGTAAGGAGCAGGAGGTGCTCACCTACCCACATCAACAGCCACGTTTTCTGTTACCCACCCTTCCCTTTCATGGCCCACATTGATCCTGGAACAGTTGGCCTTTTCCAGTTCTCTGGTTCTTTCTTACCTTCCAGTCACTCAGATCTACCAAACACACTATGGGTTTTTTTTGTTGTTATGCTTTTTTGACCATTCTACTTAAAGACATGGAAAGATTCTTATGCAGATCCAGGACGGTAACTAGATGACCGAGGAAATGGCCATAGTTTTATGTTCTGCAGCTCACACCACAGTGCAGTTAATGCCATGCTTTTGCTTTAGAAGCACACCAACATGCAAGAACCATGCAGTTAATTTAAGTTAAAAGGGAGCACCCATTCTAAAGAGGAACAACTACTTCTAAATAATGGAGTGCTTTTACTCCAGAAGTGTTTTAGTGTAACTAGCTTAATCTAGGCACTATTTTCAACTCTTTTCCCTTTGAAAGCAAACCCTAAATCAGTCTGAACAACTAAGGATGGAAATCTATCTCATTCTTTAATGTGATGGTTTTGTTTCAGCTACTTTACCAGCTTTGGATAATAAAGTAATAAAAACGTTATGCATTCAATTTTGTACCACATTCTCTATAAAAATTACAAGAAGCAATCATTTCATCAAGGTATTTGGACTTTTGGCTCCCCAGTTAGTACCACAGGCCCAAAGGTCTCTGTAGAAATGTTACGTAATAACCAGTAAGCAACAGAAATGTACTTAACATGGTGGTATCCTGTAATTCACATTAGCAGCTGCACAAATAATTACAGCCCTTCTCAGGTAAACCCGCACCAATTTAAATGAGTTTTCTCTGAGCAGGGAAGGAGAGAAATCCCTTTGAGTGATAGGGAGATCAACAGAAGCCTTTACACTGTCTTAACTTTACACTGCTAAACACTGTCTGATCCCCCAGGCATACAAATGCTACCTGCTAATGACTGAAAGAGTATGATTTTCAGACTCGATCAAATTCTACTGAATCTTGGTTGGTATTTTCCTACATGTATTCAACAGAAAGGGGTCACTTTTACCCTGACCATGTAACCATTTCAGCACTCCAGCGTTCACAGGAGGGCTTTAACGGCCATGCTTTTTGTTTAAGATAATCAATTCCCCTTCCCTTGCCTCTGATTCCCTGTTTTGTAAGAGGACCACTTACCAGCAAAATGTGATTCAGCCCCTTACGGAAAGTAGCATCAGCTGTTCATTTGTGAGCCAGGCCTAGGTGACATCACAGGTTTTTGGAACCAGACTTTTGTTTCTGTCTAGTCAAGGGGTGGCTAAACATGGAATCACATAAATCAGGGCTGTTGGGGACTGATGGGGTCATCTATGCCATTTCCTAATCTCCAGGTGGGACCAGTTTTGCCTAAACAATTCTTAGCAGCTCTTTCTGACTTATTCTTAGAAGACTCCATTGATGAGTTCCCATAATGCCTCCATGAAATTATAAGAAAGTTTCTTTTACATCTGAAATGCATCTCCAGTTAAAGACAGTATTACTACTTCTATTTTTCAGACTTTAAACATATAATACATTACTAAATCTGGTAGTGTATAAATTGACATTTGTTTTACTTACTCCTGATAGCAATTACTCTTCCTGGAAAAGTAGGTGAAGAGAGGCATGTCATTTAAGACTTGCCCTACACTACTGCAGCAGCTAAGCCCTATAATATCTCAACACTCACTTTATTGGTTTAGGGGTTTTCTTTCTACCTGAACTGAAACAAAAGTTGTAATTCATTCCCCATAACAAGGTTCTAATTTCAGGCAGTCTGGAGGGGAAGATCCTAGGAAGGGAGTAACATCCTAGAACTTAAAATAGTAGGAATACTTTTTGGTGCCTAAAATTTCCATGAGTCAATTCTGAGCCACAGAATGTCACTTCCAAACTAACGTTTCCTCTTTTTGGTGATACTTCAAGGAAGAAAACATGGTCAGTTTTCAAGGTACTCAACCATTTCTGTCAAGTTATCTAGACTGTCTAACAAAAGCTAATTTACAACGGGAGGTGTCTACAACAGGCGCCATTAAGTCTAGAGCCATGAGACTGACTTCTCCCTGGACATCAATTTAACAAGATTATGATGTAGAAGGGTACTGTACCTCTCTGAAGTGCAAGGCTTTTTATCCCAAGAAATTATTTTCTATTCCTCTTAGCTAATGCACAGTGAGGTTTTGCTAATCACCGTTCTTAAGGGAAGGCAAGAAAATTTAATTAATATATAGACATTCGCAAGTAAGTAGCTAGTGCCTCTTTTTTAAATTCACATTCAAATCAAGAAGGATGCTAATTAAAGTGAGGTAACAGATTCATTTTCCTAGTGCTCTTCCCCAGCAGAGTTTTGTAACTGTAAGTGCATAATAAAAAGATATTTATATGGGAGAGAGATCTAAAACGTTCTGAAAAAGTGTAGCAAATAAGATTGGAGATTGGTTTCTGTACACAAAAGCAGAAAAAGCAAAGCTCGCATCTTCCTACTACTTCAAGTTACAAATAAATTCCTTTTCAAAGTTTTTCTTCTTACTTGACTAATTCACAGTGTGATACAGATACTACACAACCAAATGCTAAAATCCTTTCAACGTGTCTAAAGAAAAAAAAAGCTATCATTATTATTCCTTGACTCAACAATTAGATGTGACACTTGAGTAAAGTGAGAATTTTAACATTTGAAGACATAATCTTAAAGAGAATATAAAACTTACTATCAACACAGTCCATCATAGACCAACATTGCTAGGTTTGTTTGGTTTTTTTTCAGTTTGTCTGGGTGTTTTGGGGAAGCTTGCTTTGTTTTTTGAGGGGTTTTAAGTTGTTTGGTTGGGTATTTTTGGAGAGGGGTGGGGAGCAGTCTCTTCTATTTCAAGGTTATTGAAAGGAGAGGGAAATGGTAGGCAACAGTCCTTAATCTAACTGTAGCCAAACTACAGGACCAGTCTGGAAAGTTTTGAATATTAGATTCTCCTTAGCAAATCTCTTCAAGACAAAATGAACCATCTAGAAACCATGGAGTTTATTCAAAAGTAAACAAGGAACACATTTTCATAGAAGATGAATCTAAAAGATTGGGACTGCAGTAAAATTGAACTGATTTGCCTAATACAAATAATAATTACTCAGTTTTTTTAAAGCACACTCTTTGTTTAGGCTTTTTTATTAGATCAAACTCAGATCAGATTTATTTTTTTTTCTTAAATCAAATTATGATCGCATACTGACCTGCCCAAATGTGATTCAGGTTCACTAGAGCATAAATCCAGAAAACTATAAAGTCACATATTTACCAGATAAAATAACTGTAGTTCACTTCTGGTTTTACCAAGTCTTTTTTGGTGCTTGACGATATCTTAATGCTTATGACTAACATAACTTTTTTCTGGCTGTAATATCAGTTACTCATACTAATGGATGTTAAATATTAATTTAGGGATCTATCTTGCAATCTGTTCACAACTTAGTAGAAAGACCAACTTCCAAAGATCTTTATGTACCTAAGGAAGCCAACAGGGGTGGCTGGGAGAATTCAGAAAGAATAGGCTTGTGTTGCAATCTGCAAGTGCTCGGGCACTCTAAAAATCCCACCACCTGCAGCTAAATGCATAGGAAAGCCTACCTCCTGTCATAAAAGCACCTCCTGTGCCAGCTGGTGTGGATGGGGTCTACAGGTACTTATGGGTGTGGTGCACCAGAAAACAGCAGGCCAAAGAGGAGAAAAAGAACATGTGAGAAGTACGTGAAAATCTCCCCAGAAATGCTAAGCTCTGGAGACTGGTGGACCTGTTGAATCCATGAGGAATGATAAAAATCAAAACACCAAGAATCAGATGAATCTGCAGAAGGCCACCAGCACACACGAGCATCAATAAGAATGTATGTAACTTAGAACACAAAAGTCATTCCTGATATATGTAGTCAAAGACTATAGGATCATATGCACACATGATGAACCAAAAAGACCTTCTGGGTCCTGCCTGAATACCAGCCCAGAAGTCACTGGTGCACTAATGTGGTTGGGTCCCAGCCGTTACTCCAAATACTACGACCAAGAGTGAGCGAGAACTCTGTGAAGGAATAATTGCATATAGTGTATGAATAGTTATCTGCTATTAAAAACAACAGCTTGGTTCTATTATTAATAACAGCTGAATTAATAAAGCGTATTCTAAGTAATACTGGTTGTGATCTGTGTTTCCCCCTACTCAATCCCCTATCAGGGAAACAGAAACATTATAGCACTCCTTGTTCTGGTGCTCGCTATACGAGCACTACTCACTCTTCTACCCAGCAGGCACAAGCAGTATTAGCATGCCCATGCAAGCTTTGATGGGAAGAAAACTAACATATTTTGTTATTTTAAAATACTTACTTGGTAGGGATATAGAGTGACGCCATTCGTTCTTGACAAAGACCAGGTGCCGTCAAGGTACTGATGAGCCTGGATTGCCACAGAGTTGAGAACATTACCGTTGCTGGGGCTGGTGGCCATCTGAAAGCTGACCTTGGCTTGGTGTCCAGGAGAGCCATTTTTCTTCTCCACCCCATTGACAATTCCTAGACTGCTGGGTTTGCCAATGTGTTTGTTGGCAACAAAGCCTGTATAATTAGATGTAGCATAAGGAGCTGGCATGTACGCCCAGTCCCTGGGCTGCAGGCTGCCCATGTGCCGGGGACTCACTAATGTGGGGTTATTGGAGAGAGGTGGGGGAGAGCCTGGTGAGGCATCATAATGTTCTGAGTTGGCAGCTTGTTCTAAGGTCAGCACCATCTGAATGGCCTCTTGCTTCAACTGGTTCAGGTGTGTGGCACAAACGTCACATCTGTTGTCCTTCTCGTTCCACGCCTTACGAATGGTATTGGGAACTTGGAGCTTGTCATGAATCACTGAAGAGAAACCTGGATCCTGAAAATCAAACAGAGAAGGGAGAGGGGGCAACAGAAAAGAAATGTTTAACCATGGTCACGACAGTGAAACATTATTACTGCTGATTGTGCATTTCAAAAGCCAATTTATGAGATAAGCTTAGAGTGCAAACAAAGGCCATTAGATACAGTCAACATATGCCAGCAGCAGAGCTGAACAAAAATGAGAAACAAGATCATGATGGAAAGAAAAAATTCTTTAACTTTTACTGATAAGTGGCAAATATTATAATTCCACTGCAAGCTTCAATGCATGGCAGAGAGAATGAATTAACCTGCTTCACACCACTGCACCTAATTTCTGGCTTGAATGAAATCTACTCTTAGTTATACAGGTGAGATCAAGAGCAACTCCACTAAAACCAGTGGGCTTGCAGCAAGGTTCACAAATCCATCTACTCATCAATGCCAGTTTTTGGTACTCAGAAAATCCAGGAAATATTCTGCAACAAAAATGTTTCAAAGCCTGCTTGTAAAGAAAAAATTAAGAAAAAAAAAAAAAGAAGTGCCACCATCACTCTCCCAAAATCCTTTTCAGAATTCCAAACAGATGGATATTTGATAAAGTTTTCAAGAGCTTTTCAGCATTTCATTTACCAAAAATACGCTTTTCAGATGGAAACAAAAACACACCACACTTTTCTATTAATCAAATGTTTTACCACTATTTTGGGTATCTGCTGATAATGTAAAATAAAACAATAATTTTATTTAGAAATTGGAACATGTATGGGGTCAATAATTTGTAAAAAATAATTTTCTTCTTGGAAAGCATAGTTCTGGTGCAAAACCACTGATGAGGTTTGAAACCTCACGCCATTACCTCATGGGTATATAGGTAGATCTTTGAATGTCAGTGGTACTATTTACAGAGCACTACACCACCCTGATCTGACTACAGTCATTGAATGCTGACCTAAATTGCAAAGTGCTTCAGTAAGTTGTGAGGTCAAACAGCACTCTTAGCAGGAGCTTATCACCAAACTTGCCTAGTTCTTACAGTATCATACAGTTTTGCAAATACACAGCAATGATGTGTGTTACGCAGAACAAACAATGGCAGTTATGTGGTGGAACTATTTCTTGGAAATTTCACAACACATTTTTGTGGTTTTACAGACCAGGCAGGGCAGGGCAGACTTCACCTTCCCCTCCCTCAAGTTTTGGAGACTTATTGGTAGATTTTCTTATGACTACTCAAAAAGATTTACAATCAATAGTATCAGAATCTTTTTTATTTTTTTTTTCCATTTTTGTGGCTTTAGCAGGGGGGGGGGGGAAATCACACAAATAGACACCACCCTTCTGAAGTAATTTGTTGAACCCCATGCTATCCAAGATGAACAAATTTCATGTCTTGATAGTTTGGCTGTGCTGGGAAAGAATGGGTAGGGGGTATAATATAGGGAGGGAGACAATTCACTGGTAGAGGGTCATATTCATTATGATCCGTCTTTATTATACACTCAAGTATTTTATTTTCACTGTTTAACTACCGTGAACAGCTCCTCAGCATGCAGTGATTAATTGATTCATAAATCATGGTGCCTCTTTATGCACAGCAGCAAAAGAGCAGTTCTAGCCTCAGAAGCCCAAGAGAGTCATATAAGCTGATGGGAAACAACAGGAGGCTGAGATCTGATCAAGCCTTAAGCTGGTCATTTCTATTCTATGCACAAAGGGGGTCACAGCATCAAAGTGCGTCAGGAAGGCAGGAACTGGATTCTGCACCAACCCTCCCCCCTTAACCTTTGGGAAAGAGACTGGTGGAAATCAGGGGGAAAAAATGGGATGCAAAAGATGTCAAATCTTATTTTCCATCCCAGACCATAACTAGGTCGAGGGATCATATCAGATATAGGCACCCCACCCATGATGCCAGGTACACGGAGAAAGGACTCTCTATTTTTACCATAATGTGTTAGACAAAGCTACCCATATAGCTGAAGTGAGGTGTGAGCCTTCTTTCCAGGCTGTTCCACATCAGTCCAGGAAAAATGCTTGCCAGCTCTTCCCTCAGCTAGGTAGTGCCACAGAGCTAGTTGTTGTTCTTTGAAAGTTAACTTCCCTTAGGCAACTGGGCTTGAACCCAGGTAATTATATACAACATTCAGATCCAGCAGCAGTTCAAGATGGAAATTCCTGCATACTATGATAAATATTCCAAGGAAATAAAGCCTTCTCTAAAGTAAGCAAATGTCAGCATGATATAAATATTCAAGTAGCACACCAGCTTTAAAGAGTGCTGGACAGCAGTGAATTCAGCTTCATCTCAGTGTTAAAACAAACATCAGATCATTCTCTGATACAACAATAAACAGAGAGAGAGGGAGGGAGGGAAGAAGGAAGACTGTTCCTCCTCAGGAGCAGAAAGGAGGAGAACAGACACAACCTGAACTGATTACTCCCAAGATTGGCCCTACTAATCTATCAGACTCTACTAGATGGATAGCTCAACACTGGGTCCAAGTCTGGAATATGAAACAGAAAAGCCTATAAATTCAGAGAAACTCGGGTTCCAGAAACACATTAGTCACAAATTGTTCTCAAAACAAATCTGATAGAGCTTAAAAGAGAGTTTACTTTCTTATTCTATACTGGGCAGCTCCACTGTAATTTCACAGAAGAATCGCCTGACAGCCTTGCAACACATTTAGCAGGAAGGAGGCCAAAGCTGGACAGTCACTACACCCTTGCTTGAATAGCAGGGAAATGCAGCTACATGACACTTTCTGTTTCAGTATTTCAGCTGCAAGCAATCATCTGCACACATTCCCTTAGGAATGCTTATTAGTTCAATAAACAGTATCTTGTCCCATAGGCACATGACAGTATCTTGTCCCATATGAAATAGCAATGGGCAAGCCTCATGGGATAAGCGCTTTGAGCTAGCCACACTAAGCAGCAGCAATTGGAAAGGTTATACTCACTACTGAAACTTGTGAGGTCGAAGAAACTCCACACTTACTGGCATGACAGCAGATCTGCTTGTGAAATCCGAGGTTGACACTGGAAATACCATTTGTATTTTGGCACTCATTTCCAGTCGTGACAGAACAAAATACAGTGACACTGAAAACTGAAACAGAACTTTAAAAGTCACAGAATAGTTTGGTTTGAGTTCAGGGCAAAGGTTCATGATGGTTTCTCTTATTGCTGTAATGGTTCACCCATCTTTAGTATAAACAGCATTACTATAAACTCCTATTCCTATAATAAACAAATGAAGGCGTGTAAGAGGTCTGAAAGCTTCAGGAGATCAGTTACAACACACAGACCATAGGATAAGTGCACAAGGCAAGCAGTGAACTAAACAGAGTGCACCCTGAACTTTGTTGCAAGGAGCCTTTTGACATTACCTTTGAGTTTTCAAGCTCAAGTAAACACCAATTCCAGCTATGTTTAGTTGTTCATCTTCTCCACTGTAACCAGCTAGTAATTAATCCCTCATCTTTGCTCCTGAACTAAAAACCCACAAGGGAAAGACAGAAGAGAGAAGGAAGTTTTGCTTTTTAGAGTCCCATCATAGGCAGGTATGCTGAGGAATTCTTGGCTTTACCCAGTAAAAATATACCCAGCAAACAGGCTCTAGTTAAGAAACCTGAAGTACACAGACAGCTGTACCAGGGTAAATGCAGTCCTAACCTCATGGAACAGGAGGAACAGCACTACTATATGATCATGTAAGGTAAACGCAGAAGCATCCTCCTCTCTTTCACTTCCCTTCGTAAATCCGTACCTTGCTATATAGTTTTCATGACATTTTAACTCCATCACTAAGAAAGCAGACTACAAAGAGAATGATCCTTTCCTTCTGCTACCCAGCTTGGTGCCCATCTTCCTCAACAGACTAAGCAAACAACCCCTTTCAGCATGAACACAGCCTGTTTCATACACGCATTTACACAAAGCTCACAAGACAACATGATGAGAGCAGTCAGCGGTCAACTGGTGGACAGAGAAACAAGAAACAGGTGGGCAAGAAACAGGACAAGCAATTTGCAATACATGTTATAGGAAACTAGCTGATCAGAGATTCATATACAAATCCCTTATACACATACTACTTTTTTGTAAACATATAGCAGACAAACACTAATACGGTACCGACTCTCAAAGATTTTGTGCACAGCTATTTGATTTGGTCAACTATAGTCTATGGAAGTTAGACATTGTAACCCTATGTCATTACTCTACCTCAGAGAAAACTCAACTATACAATGCAAGACCTTAAGAAATTGTGTTCTTCAACACCAATATTATTCATCATTCTTCAGGAAAAAAAAAAAAAAAAAAAAAAAAAAACACAAAGCAGTTAATATTAACTAAATCACAGAGGCCAGCTTCTACTTGAAGATGCTCGTGGAAGACTCATGTCTCAAAAGAGAACTCAAAAGAGTTCTTTTGTTTCTGAAAAGGTCCAGGCAGCAATAACTGCTGGTATGTAATCCATCACACAAGGTGAGGGGAGAAGTAACGGAAAGCAACAATCAAATTTCTGCCCAGGAAGAAGTGTGTTTTCCAGACTCTCACTCTCCACAGGCAGGGAGTAAAAGAACTAATTAAGAAACATTAGTGGGAGGAAAGCCTTAACCCTGACAAAAAACCCGTATGTTTTTCCAAGAATGTGCAAACACCTCTGCTCTAAACACAATCCTGTTAGTCCATGGTTAGTCTCCATTTGGGGGGGGGAGGTCTCCTCTATTCTCCTTTCTCTCTTGAGGGTATACTTTCCAGCCCAATAAAGAGATTATACTTGTAAATTTACCTTCCAGAGGCACTTGGGTTATTTTCCACGTGACTGTGCACCCTAACTTAAACTTATCCTATCATCATTTTGGCTACATTTCACACATTTGCTGTTTTCAGCATTCCAGAGCCCCAACAGTTGAAAAGCAACTCCTCACTGTTACAATGGCACCACTTCTGTTAAAGCAAAAGTATGTTCAAATAAACTGAGTCAATGGGAGTTTTTCCTCA